AATGGAAATGTGATTTGTTGTATAAATGAGTTAAACAATTTTTTTCTTTTTTTTAACTGTTTATAGTTTGGGGAACTTCGAACTTACTTTTGTTCTAGGTCTTGAATGTAGGTAGAAATGTATTGGTTTTACAATGATGAGTTCTAGAGTGGTTTATGGAGATTATATTTATAATTTTTTTTTATAAAGTTTTTAATAAAAATGTAATCAAAGCAAATTAAAAACAAGTTTATAATTTACATTTTCATTAAAATGTACTGTTTTTATTTAGAGTATTTTTGATAAAGGTTTAATAATTTCAGTACGATTATAAATATTTCTTAAGTGTTGATGTTTTTTTTTAGGTTAATACATCAAACAATAATACAATTGGTTAAGTTTATTACAATGTAACTATAATATTATGCATAAAATATAAAAACATTTTTATTATTTTTTTAAAAAATAAAAAAATTAAAGCATTATATTTTTTTTAACATTAGGTATTAGGTATGGACTATGTTTTTTTTCATATTTGTTGCAAAGGAATTTATAGTTTTGGTTATTATGATTTTTAATTTGAATAAAATGTTAAATATATCATTTTTATTACTATTTTTTTTTATATATATTTTTTATATACTTACTATAAATGATTTTTATGAGCACTTAAAACTTAAAATACTTCCTATAACCCTGATTGTATTGTAAACTGAACTCGGATTCCATTTACAATTTACAAATGTATTCCATTTTTCATTCAAAGACTAGTTCGGTCCGCTAATCGAATGTTATGCAGTATGTACCTCACCAGACTACTTTTAAAGTAATTTTATAATCATTTTCGATAGGTACATAAAAATTTGCTATGGATATATGGTACGTAGAATCAATAAAAATTTTAGTTATTATAACTTCATTAATCATATTTTGTGTTTAAAGTTCTGTTAATCTATTTCAAAATCTTCAGATTGCCTTTATTTAATATAGTTACTAGATTGTATAAAATATTTGATAAATAAATGATAAATAAATATAAAAAAAGTTTTATTTTTTTTCTAGTTACCGTAAAGTGTACTTTTATATAACGTTACAGAAAAAAGAAAAAGAAGGATGTTATTTTACATTGCAAAAATAATATGAGACATAATTCTATTTTAGAATTTTATAGGTGACGTAAATAAAAACAAAAAGTTTTTTAACAATTAAGAAGTAGGTACCTACTACCTACTTACTTTATTATAATATTAAATTGTGTAAGATATTTCTGAATACAAACTAAATGAAAATGTTGTGTTTGTATTGAAACGGTGCGTCCGATAGGACGACCCGTGTCGTAAATAAAATAACAATTGTGTGCTCGATAATCAAGTTGTTCTATTGCTAGGTTAAATTATAATTTATATTTACAATATTGGGACAAGTAAAGCGTCGATTTGTGCCGACCGGACTTAAATAAGTGAGTCGGCACAATCGGAGGCGCTTGGGTATTGTGGTCGGACAATTGTCGGACCCTATCTTCACAAGTGTTTTTATAATGATTTATATAAGTTATACAATATGATCGGCTAGGAAGCCGGCCGTCGTCGGTGCAGACTTAAGTCAAGCGGCACCCCGACGACGAACCAGACTTGGGTCGGACAACTTAATCAAGTGCCGAGGTTAGGGTCGTGGTGGCCCTGAAAAGGGCCATTTAATGTTGTCACGCCGTGAGTGGTCGGCCTATCCGGTGATCCCGTAGGCTTGGGTGGTTGAGTGGCGGTCAGGCGGCCTCGTCACGGCAAGAGTACACTGACACTGGTCTCTCCCCGTTGAGCGGCAGTCACGGGGTCGGTTGGTTCTGACGATGATGGCGTTGTTGATCGACCGATCTTTGCGCCCGTAGACAGGTGGTCGACGGGTCGTTATTGTTCGGCAGTTGAATGACGTTTACAGCCGTGGAGCGGCGTCGTTGTCGATATGCGTCGGTATGATGATAAACGCAATCGGGAACGGCGGGAACGTCGGTGGTCTGCGGTCGAATGGCGCTGGTAGCCGTGGAGCGGCGTCGTGGTCGATATGCGTCGGTATGATGATAAACGCAATCGGGAACGGCGGGAACGTCGGTGGTCTGCGGTCGAATGGCGCTGGTAGCCGTGGAGCGGCGTTGTCGTCGGTCTTCGGCGGTCGATTTCTGGTCCTGGTCTTCTTGCTATCGGAACGTTTCTTGGAGATGTTGATAGTTTGAAGGATTGAAGTGGACTGACTAGATTGTTTTTGCTTTGCTTTGTTAGAGTACTCTGTTTCAAGCATTTAGCTTCTTACAGAGAGGAGGAAGTACAGAATTGAGAGTGGTGAGTTTAGGCTTAAAGATTAGCTATTATTAAGAAAGTGGTTTTTTAATGAAGTGCTCCTTGGGTGAGTTTTTGGAGAGAATGTCGGAGATGTGCTTGAAGCTTGAGTTTTTGATGCGTTGAGTAAGTGAAACTTTGTTTTTTGATAAGTGATCTTTTAGTGGTGGAGTCTTTAAGGATGATCTGATGGTTTCGTTGGAGACATACCAGTCCAGTCCAGTAATTTGACGCAGGGTAGTAGACTGAACTGCCTCTAGTTTTGACCAGCTGCTATTGGAAATATTTGCCGTCCATGCAGGTCCCGCATAGGTCAGGATAGGTCTGATGTAGGTTTTGAATATATGTAGTTTTGAAATAGTTGAAAGAGGACTGCGTTTATTAATAAGGGGAAAAAGGGAATGTTTGGCTCCTTTAGCCTTGGTGATGATGTTTTTTACGTGAGTGCTAAAAGATAGCTTTTTATCTATGGTGACCCCTAGGTACTTGATGTTATTTGACCATTTGATGGGAGTGTCGCCAAATTTTACGCAATCTCCCGCTCTAGTCTGCTTGTTGCTGAACATAATGGCTGAGGTCTTGAGTGGATTGATTGATATTTTCCACTGATGGAACCATTCGATCGAGAGATCAATCTGGGCTTGAAGGTTTTTAATTGCACACGATTGGGATATGCTATCAGCGTAAAATAATGTGTCGTCAGCGAAGAGGGCTAACTTGGCTTTGGAGGATAATGGCATATCGTTGATGTATACGGAGAATAGGTGCGGAGAGAGGCATGACCCCTGAGGGACTCCAGCTCTTATGGTCTTGGGGGAAGATCTGGTATCGTCGATTTTTATGCAGAATTTCCTTTCTTTGAGAAATGACTGAATGATGGAGACCAGCTGTTGAGGTACTTGCATAGCCAGGAGTTTGAATACAAGGCCCTCGTGCCATACCTTATCAAAAGCTTTTTCTATATCAAGGAGAGTTACTGCTGTTTTTAGCCTTCTGTTCATATTATTTGTTATGTTGTCTATGAAGTTGACTAGTTGAATTTCAGTGCTGTGCTGGGGGCGAAAGCCAAATTGTTCAGGTCTGATTTGAGGCAATATGTGACTTTTAAGTCTGGAGAGTAAGAGTTTCTCGTATAGTTTACCCATCGTGTTCAGGAGAGATATAGGTCTGTGGTTGGTTGGGATTTTTGGGTCTTTTTTCGGCTTAGGAATCATAATTATATCAGCAATTTTCCACTGGTTGGGAAAATATTCTAGACGAGTGCAAGAGTTGAATATTTTACACAAGTAGATCGCAAGTTTTTTCCCCCCACGTTTGAGAGCACAATTAGATATAAGGTCAGGCCCAGGGGCGCTTTTATTGGGGAGTTTGCGAAGATTGTTCCAGATTTCGCCTGGAGAAAAGAAGATGTTTTTGTCGTATATCGAGTTTAAGTGTTGTTCCAGGGTGTCTTGTACTATTTCGTCTACCCACGAAGTACTAGCCAGAGGAGAAAATTGATTTTCCATGCTTGAAGCGAAGATGTTGGCTTTTTCGAGAGAATCATAGTGGAGGAAACCATGATCGTCCTTAAGTGGATGGGAAGCTGTAGATTTCCTGAGAAGTCGTCTATTGAGCTTATAAAGTCGGGACCACCCTTGGGGACCAATATCGATTGAGGACAGGAAATTGGACCACTCTTCGTCGCGATTTGATTGTAGGAGATCGCTGACTAAACGATTTTGTCGGTTAAGTAGCGTTTTTATATCCGGGTTCCTGGTCCTCTGCCAGATGGATCTTAGCCTGCGTTTTTTGGTAATTTGGAATTGGATCGATAGTGGAAGGTCAGTTTTCCTGTCAGATGGGTTGTGGATTGTGGAGTTGATTTTTACGTTGTCGGAGATGAAATTGGAGAGATGCTGAATAGCTGAGTCAACCTGTTCCTCTGTGAGAATTTCAGGGAGAGAAAATGGCTTGGAGAGCATATCAAGTTCGTATTTAATCCAGTCGGTGATGTAGCGAGGTTTAGGCGGAGATATGTGAGCAGAACGATGATGGATGTCTAGCAGAATAGGAGAATGGTCAGAAGACAGTTCATTTGGAAGGTTCTCCAAATGATAGCTAAGACTACCTGCCTTTATTATGGCGATGTCAAGAACGTCTGGATTGTGATTTGGGTTTGTTGGATAACGAGTTGGAGAGGTAGGAGCTGTAACAGTTGTGTCTAGCCTCGAGTCTAGATAATTAAATAATGTTCTACCTGCAGTATTTGTGGACCTACTGTTCCACGCTAGATGTTTTGCATTAAGATCGCCTGCGATTATAACGTTTTGACCTGAGTCTAGAATGATGTCCAAGTCTGATGTTACAAGTTGAGTGCCTGGGCTTTTGTAAGCCGAGACAAGAGTAAGTTCCGCGTCATTGATTTGGATAACGATTGCCGTATTGTTGATGGATGTTGTGATGATTTTGACATGGTGATGAATAAATTTCTTGTTAACTAGGACAGCAGTCCCTCCGGCTGGAGGGTGGCCATTCACTAGTGGTCTATTGGTTGCGTAAGAAAAGAAGTTAGGGAGATTAAATTGGCTATTTGAAGCAAGGTGAGTTTCATTTAAAAGAATAATGTCAACCTTTTTCCTCTGGACTAGGTCGAGAAGTTCAAGGCGTTTCCGAGCTACGCCTTGACAGTTCCAAAACAAGATTCTGGTGTCAGCCATTGTGAGATAGGAGAAGGGGGATAAGAGCATTTAGAGTAGAGATGAGAACGTTTCTGATGTTGGCGGAGCCGGCTGTGAGCTCTGACAGCAGATTAGTGAGCAATTGGATAGCTTCTGGATTGACAGGCTGGCTTGATAATTTTGAAGGCTTAGGGCCAACTACAGTTGCGTATGACTGAGGGCGGATTATAGCATCTTCATTAGATGGAGGAGTGATGGTTGCTGGAGGTTGATAAAGAGTTGTTTGAACGCGTTGTTGATTGAACATGGGTAGGGATGCTTGCTTAGCGGCTTTAGTCTTTAAGAATTCTGGACATTGTTTGTAGTTGGCTGTGTGAGGGCCTTCACAATTAATGCATTTGGGAGTCTGTTCTAGGGTCTTGGGGCAGTCTTTAGCCAGGTGGGATCCAGCACATTTCACGCATCTTGGGGTAAACCCACAGTAGATGCTGGAATGACCAAAACGTTGGCAATTAAAGCACTGGGCTGGGTTTGTCGCTTTGTAGGCTTCTACCTTTACCGAGATATAAAAGAATGAAGATTCCCTAAATATTGACTTGCTGGCAGGGTTGTTTGGTAAGGAGACCATATGAAGGGGCAATTTTTTGCCGGCTTTAACGAATTGGCGGACTGCAGAGATTTCGTATCCTTTGGATACTAGTTCTTCGGAGAGTTCGATGTCGGAGATATCAGTAGGCAAGCCCCTGATTACGACTTTGAGTGTTTTTTCTTCGGGACTTGGAAACGTGAAAAATTCGGTTTCAGTGTTCTTGAAATATTTTTGGACAATTCTGAACATATCAGAGTCAGTGCATTGGATTTTGACCGAGTCATTCCGGAAAGCTTTGACTGTTATCGAGTCAATAGGAACTGCTTTCATAAGTTTGGACGCTGCTTTCCTCCATGCTGAGGTAGAAGTGATTAGTGGTGGAGGAGGTTTGATCTTTTGTTCGACAGGTGGAAGGTCTTGAGTGGGAGTAGGCGTTGAGCGGTTGGAGATTGATTTTCCCGGAGAAGAAGAACGGATGCTAGTTGGCAGAGATCCTGGTAGACCTGATATTTGGTCAGTTGAGGTTAGTTCTGAAATGGACGACATTGATTCGGAATCAGAAGAAAGAGATTCAATATCTTTTTGTTTTTGTTTTTTGGTTGACGATTGAAGTGAAGAAGCCGATGAAGTTGGCCTTTTGATTGTAACCTTTTGAGGAGGATGAAGATTTGGGTCGGAACCACGGCGTGGAACGTTTTTCTTTACCCTTGTCATTATTACTAGAGGTGGAACCGTCGTGCACGATGCACAGACGCGACCCGGCGGTGCGAACCCGCGGGTTCACTTGCCTCGTAGTCGAGGGGGGGTTCAGAGTAAAAAGTAAGGTACTTACTAATGAATAAGAAGACTGAACGAGTTGCTCATTCAGGCAGATGCAGATGTCGTGTTCAACGCTGAACGTCACTTTGATGAGCGATGACGACTATGATGATGTCATTTTGTATGGATTCTTGGCGTTGAATACTGGGCAAACTGCTGCTCTGAACGCTGAACGTAGACTCGTATGACTAGATTGTCGAGAGTGTCCGGTATTTATACCCTTTTCGACAATCTAGTCCATCGTTGATTGGTCCGCGTAATATGTTTTAGACGAGTGAAAATCACACCGTTGAACGGACATTCCTATCTATCATGTGTGATTTTCACTCGTCATATCGTGTCCTTTTTTTCAATCGTTTTTACTTGGTGGGTGTTTGTTCCGTAACAGTATTTATATAATATAACCATGCATTTTTTCAAAAATAATAAAATTTAAAATCTAATTATTATTCATTAATTTATCCAAACAATTGACAATTTTAAAATATAATATTTTCCACTAATTTATTATGATAATTTAAAGTTTCTGAGTAGTGAATATGACAAGAAAATTGGCTATTTTGGTTATAAAGCTAAAGCTTGGTTATAACTTATAATATTTAATTATTTAGAAAACAGAACAATATTTCTGTATGGTTATTTTTTTTTTAATAAAATAGCGTAATAAATTAATTTTAGTTATAGATTACACAACTATCACTGACCAGTGACAGTGAGGGTTTGGATAAATTTGGAGTACCAGTAGGGATTTTTTTTGACGTATCTAATACCAACGTCATAAGTTATTACCTACTTACTTCACTTCAAAATGATACTTTTTGAGTGCAATTATATGAAATTAGAAAACACTGTATTCACAAGAACTGTTGCTTATCACCTAGGAACAAATATACGTCATCATAGGTCACTGAATTAATATGATTTTTTTTAATGTTTAATTTAAAAAAAAAGTCAAAATTAATATTATAATAGTGTATTTACACCACAAAAAAAAAAAAAAAACATAAATTAGGATAACAAATTAATTAATAAAACATATATTATATATTACATAATCATTTAAATTTACGAATATAATAATAATGATACCAAATAATATCTTTTCGAGCTTCTAGGCAGAGAATAAACAAAGTAGTTATATAATTGTAAATTAAATTTAGTGTACTAATATCTTATACTATTTAGCTAAACTAATAATATTAATTGAAATAGTTTTTTTCTATTTAATATTTTTATTGTATGAAGTCAATAAAATATATTTTAATTTGTCTTGTTTCATTATAAGTAAAGATGATTAGGTAGATACATATTTGAATTGGTAAGACGATTTATGTAATGTTATCTTGAATTTATTCATAAAACTAAGAATAAATGTTATGTATTCTGCGATTCACAAACTAATTCTTGTAATTTTATTTATGAAAGTATTTATGTAAAAAAAATAAGCATGTACTAAATATTAAATCATTTTAATAAATGCTCAGACTTTTATATCTTACTTTTTATAAATTGGTTTGCAAACAGTGATTTTGTAAGCATGTACCCTTTCATGCTTAAACTATGCATTTGTTGAATTGTACTGCACATGACACACAATATCGTACTAAAAATTAACAGAGGTTAATGTATTGGTTGGGTAACCATGTATTTACCCACCAAAATCCTAACCCACTGATAAAAGGCCTAAGAACTTACTTTAGTCTTGCCCAACTGACCTGTCGGAAGGCACTACTGTATGGTGCTTAGAGCTTACTTTAATTCTGCTAACGTAAATGTTTGTCACCAAAATTATTTATTGTACGCGTATAAACTTGAATAGATTATAATTATTTTTTAAATATAAAATAAAAACATATTGGATTTAAAACGAGTGTATACATAATATGTGATAAATATTATAACATGTATGATGTATGTATAAACCATAAATAAAATTTAAACGAATTGACGATAATGTGCAATTTTATTATTATATTATAATAATCTATTAATCTACACTTAATATATTGTTTTAAAAATCCGCATGGCAAAGACAGATCCACCCTTATGCCTAACATGCAATACAAACTACCCCATCAAACATATATCATCATCCACTGCCCAAACTTCAACGAAGCTAGAAAGGATTTCAACATCCCAGACAACCTGTACGAAGCAATTGGTCCATTTTCAAACTTTCATAGCATAATTTTATACTTAAAAAAAATTGAATTGTACAACAACATAAAATTATTTAATGTAGAAATTAACACCGGTAAGCTAATAACCTATGTAGTTGATGCTTAACCAATAATAAAAAAAAAAAATCCTCATATAGTAGATTGACTGCCATTAAGTGGCTATTTTACCAACGATTAACTCGGACTTATAAATTTATCTAGTCTTATATTAATATACATAAATACAATAAATTCAAACTTTTTCTATAATCCTAACCTAACAGTCGTATCTATAACCTATAAATAATGTAATTAGTTGACATTATATACGTCTTACATTGACACGTCACCCTCGGCTTATTGGAAACAGGTGACGCTTTTCGTTGGATCGAAAATATACGTTCTGCTAAATCGTTTTCGTACTGCACATTACTATTAATAATACTCAATCGTGTATACGATGACGTGTTAACAATTCGACCGAGAATCGAACGGCAAGACGGACGAGGAGAAAACTGTAGCCACCACGTTTTTCTCTGACTGACTGACAGACGATGGAAATTATTATCGTGGTTATACCCGCTTGCAAGTTTACCTACCAGTATACAGGGTATAATTCACCAAGCATGGCCACCCCAATTTTTTCCTTTAATAGTTGAATTATTTGAATTATGATTTTTTGAATTTTTTAATATAGGTACCTACTCAATGATTATTTTTTTTAATTGTTTCTTATGGAGACACAGACTTCTGTTTTTCAAATGAGAACTTTTAACAAGGGATTGAACAAATTTGGAGTTTTCTCCATAGATCCATACAGATATGGATGATAAATTATTTATTACCGTGGATGGATCCAAAAGCGCATTATAATATTTACTTTGTTCATTTGGAAAAGTTTTTTTTATAACAACGAATTATTTCGCAAAAAAAAAAATACTTACCAAATTACATATTATAAAAAAATGTGGAAACACTTATTTGTGAGGCTAAGCCGAGAAAACTTCGTTTATCACCGGTAACGTGTGGTAACCACAGAAATGTAATATATATATGGTAGTAACAGTGTATTGTTGAACAACGATAATGAATTATGAAATTAGGCACTCGCCCAATCATAATATTATATTATATTATTCTGTGATATTATTATCGTCGGATACGAGTATATGACACGGTGTAACTACACGAAATGGTGTCAATAGAATACCAGAATACCTCTATTACTCTAGACCTGGTAACCGTGATATTTTTGTTGATTAGTCATAAAGTAAAATATTCTTTCGGCGTCCTTCACACCGTATTTGTTTCTCAATGATGTCTTTAAAACTTAAGATCTCGTGATAATTTCCATCGTCAGTAAGTTAGTACGGTTTTCCAATGATTTTTGGTGGCAATTAAAGATAAAGCAAGGCTTCTATATGCTTCTTAGACGACTATCAGTCACTTAAAATCACCTACTGTTAAAAGATTCTTCGTATTTTGACATTGAACGAGTTTACAACAGTTATTTTAAAAAAGTTAAAAATTATCATAGTTGCACATAATGTAGTTTGTATAATATGGGTCCAAATAATTAAATCCTAATTAAAAACTTGATAAAATAATAGTCCTTAAATGCTGTAAAAAAATATTTGTATAAACGACTAATACGTCGATATTGACTTAACAATTGTTAATAACAATAATACAATATTTTAATAGAATATGATAATAATCAATATTTAATAAATTCCATGTTTTTAGCCAAACTGTCAGTTCAATATATTTATACAGATTGAGGTTGATTCAAAACTTACTGTATAGCTGCAGAGTTCCCATCTTTTTATTTTTAATGTCACGTATGTACTCTGGAAATACATTATTTATATTCACTGCATGTATTATAATATATGAAATAAATATATGTAACGATTAAAAAATCTATAATTGCGTACTATATATTTATCGTTTATTCGAATGTCGGGTAACTAAAAGTGTAGGTATTGAAATTAATGTACAGTATTATATTATTATAGTTATTGTATATTATAATGGCGCACAACTCGGCAGTCTTGAATGAAATAATCTCAAATATGTAACACGTTTGACACATACTTAAGAATTCGAAATCCAATGACCGCAAACTGTATGTGTATGAGTATGCGTGTGTGTGTGTGTCGTGTGCATAAGTATTCATGTTATACCGAGCGCGGTTGACGTAGGAATAACCGTCCAGTCGGGTTTAGTAATTAATAACGCGTTGGGAAATTGATAACTTCGCACGGTGTCATTAAGCGTAAGCCGCCTCCTTCACCTACCTGTACCGCGGATATTGCCACCACACCACAGCTACTGCTCCGTTATGCCACGACTGTGTATATATGTATTGCCTCCACCACTTCTCTCACTCCACTAAAAAAGCCATTTGAATACACGCCATGCAGGTAGGTTGTATATGACGGTTGTAAATGCACTCACACACACACACACACACACACACACACACACACACACACACACACACACACACACACACACACACACACACACACACACACACACACACACACACACACACGCACACACTAACACACAATAAAGCGGGTTGTGAGAGAGTTTCTCCATATAATATTTGAATGAGAAGGGGTCGGGGGGGTCAACCAGTGTAACCGAGGATTCCGCAGTCGCAATTTCCATAAGCACGTAGAATTATAATATATGAGATGACCCTTCGCGTCATCGTTTATTATCATG